TCTAACATAAAATTAATTGTACATTTTACATATTCCAGCTCACAAACTTAGACATTGGGGAATATCATTATAGCAGCCAATTACATCAGTCGCCGGGACAAAGGGGTGACATTTAAATATATCGAAGCAGTTCGCAGCATTTTTGCCATAATTCAAGGTTTGTGTATGAAAAAGCTATTAATCTTGGCTCGGTATCGCGTTTTGGCGGTGCGGACACATCAATATGAACGTTTTCCGTTGTCTGTCTCCATCTTAAACAACCCAGTAAGACATCACTTGCAATTTCCCTTCTTTATCTGTTGAAATATTGTTATGAATTAATCATACATCTTCTTTACAGCATATACCGGAACTTACCTATTAGACTTTATGTACAGACTTACATTTATATGTGCTTTAGGTTCCATTTTCTTCCATTTTAGGTTCGAAAGAATATAGATGTAGCTCATTTTTAAATTAAAATATGTATGACGGGTGGTTGGGTGGCAGTGATTGACGCGTTCGCGTTGAATCAGAAGGTCTGTCATTGAGTCAAGTGGCATAGTTTCGATTCCCCACTTGTACGTGACAAGGCGTGGGGTCGCCTGTCAAACCTGTTGGGGTTTCTCCGGGTCCTATAAACAATGCGTATCAGTGAGATGTGACGTCAATAACACCCCCTCTCTCTTTCCCTCTCTCTCTCTCTCTCTCTCTCTCTCTCTCCCCTCTCTCTCTCTCTCTCAAATGCGAAATCTACCTGTTATTTGGCTATCTAATATCGACTGTAATCACCTTTAATACCAAGGTTTTTTTAAAGCGTGTACGTGAATCGCTTCGACGATTTTGTTTAATTTGCAATACACTATAATGTATGGTTGACTTGTAGACAGATATTACCTTAGATATTCGCACCAGACAACGCATGTTAAAGAAGCATTAACTCGCCAAGAAAATTAATGTAATTAATTTTACACACATCATCATGTTATTTTCAGGCCACCCTTGATTTATATAACGATATCCGTGGAAATTTTGGTAATAAAGAAGATTTTAATAAGAATTGAATGTAAAAAAAAAATATCAGTGAAAAACAAACTCTTCGGGTTTAATATTTGGTTCATTTTTACAAACTCTATTTTTTTTTAGTGTTGGGTTTTTAAATTTTATTTTTACGGAAATGTATTTACTTATATACACAGATTAAAAGATTCTTTATATCTCATTATCGAAATAGATTCTACAATGCAGAACCAACAGTATGGTGGCCGAAAGCGTCATTTAGATCGTCGCTTTTTCAGATGTAACGCGAGAGACGCCGGTAAGCCAAAATGGCAAAAAAGGCGATTTGTTTTTCGTTGAATATTTCTGATGAAATGTAAATGTATTTTTTTTTGGATTTTCTAAAATAAATTTTGCTATTATATTAAAATACAATGCTTTAATTAAACAAAGATACAATTTAAACATCTAATATGCAAATGTCTGATTTGTAAAACAAATATTGACTATAAGATACAAATGTTAATTTTAGTATACAAATGTTGAAATACGACAACAAATGAAGAAATAAGAATTGAGGACACTGAATAAAGAGCTGTTTGGTTTTCCACACCAACGAAGGTGGGTATTCTAGAACTCATACACGACATTAGGCACTATTTTTTTGGCTATACGAAACAATATTTTATACCTAAATTTTAGAAACCAAAAACTAAATCCATCTGCAATAATGGAAATCATTCCCTAGTCAGCACTATTGTTTTTATGCAGAACCACCGAATATTTCGAAACAGTCATCAACTTTTTACAGATTCTGCCAACGGTTAATGCAGACTATATATTATCATATTATGTTTCATTTTTTCTGTCATTTTTTAATGCGTAATCGCAAACAGGAAAGGGCGTATAAAGGAGCTAGGTAACCATGGAAACTAATGAGTTTTATAATCAGTTGGTTCATACGGGTGTAGCATTTGACAAGTTAATCCAATCGGCAGTCAACGGGAGATTACATGATATAAAACTATAGTCAAAAACATAAAGCCTGATTGCTGCCAACCATTACCATATCCCACCGCACAATATGTTAAAATATTAAAAAACACAACACAGTTTATATGGAAATACAATCACTGGTTTATAGGTATAGCACGACGTTTCGACAAGTATTCTCTTATCGTTATCAAGCACAAATGATTATATCAAGGATTATATTCGTCATCAGTATCATCATTTGTGCTTGATAACGATAAGAGAATACTTGTCGAAACGTCGTGCTATACCTATAAACCAGTGATTGTATTTCCATATAAACTGTGTTGTGTTTTTTAATGTGTTCAATCGCTAAATGCCACTCAAGGATTATGTTAAAACATATCTCTTTCATTTTTAATATATTGTCGTCATTATCAATTTTGCCAATATGGAATCTTGGGTCTGTCCTTCTGTCACTCTTAGGCTGTAATGTGTCGTAATCTCGATTATTCGGGCCGTCAATTAGTTGGGTCGTGGACAGTAGACCGACTAATTTCCAACCGAGAGCAAGTGACCGATATTACATGGCCGCGTGAGACACTGGATTGTCATGCACGACTGTAGTACATCTTTAGTGTATTTTAAAAAGATATAACATTAAAAATGCATTATGTAAATCTGCTTATTACAGAAAAGGTTTTTTTTGGCTTCCAATCTTATATAAATTATTATGTAGACATTTAGTCACACCACAAGCCTATAATCAACTCTCTAGACCATCAGATAGCGCAGATGTAAACGGATTAAAATACGATCGCCATTTAAAGATTTAATTTAAAAATGGAGAAGCGAGACTGAGTCTCGATTAACAAGTAACGTTGATAGGATAATAAACAATCTGTGCCAAAACTCCAAACAATGATAACTTAGCTCAGAATAAAGTAATTTAACGGAAATTTTCAATAAATTCATTTTTTTATTATCTATATTTGAATTATTATAGCAACGGAAAGCTCCTTTTCTAAATCCCCAGTAAACAAAGCGAATTCCGCTTAATATGTCAAAGTTCCGTTTCGCTGGGTGCATTGTTGTGATCGATACATAAGGTAATGTAGTCTCGAAAAAATATATTACGGTGTTACATAGCAAAAATAAAAAGCCCAGATAACACTGCCGTGAATCTTTGAGAAAGGTCACAACTGAAATATTCTGTCCAAGAGTTTTACATCATCTTCCAGACATGTACGATAAATAAATAGCTATTTTAATAGCTAACCTATGCAGCTGCTCAAATATACACTATTGACAAAGATTGAAATAAGCGTCGCTACCAGGCCAAGATCCCTCATAAAACATTGCATGGCCAGTCTTCATTAGCCTGGTTTGGGTAAAAAGTTAGGACTTTAGTCCCAGCATCATTTCATCTCAGCATCGTGTTTAAACGAAAAGTCAATATCTGTCCTGCATCTTTCCTTTGAATTGGATTGCTGAAAATGGCTATGGGATTTTGGTTTCGTAGCAAGTGAGGTGGTTATAAATTTTTAATTTATTTTAAAGCAATGCAGATGACTTGTTTTTTTAAGCAGTGAAAATGGCTAGGAGCAATTGTGTATTTTATTTAAGGAAGGAAGACAACTATCAGTTGGGTTTTCTAGACGGGAACTGAATCGTTTCTAAAGCAGGGAATATGGCTACATATAGGTGCAATATTGTATTTCTTTTAAAAGCAGGGATGATCACCGTGGGAAGTCTCAAAGAATATTATCGGGTGAGTTCCTCACTAAGAACATACTGACGAGATGATTGTTCTCTTACCAAGGTTAATAAACTTGCAATGAATGGAGATACTATTTACAGTGGTTGAATCGTAATAGAGAATAGGATTTGACATAAATAAAATGAACTAGTTAGATATTTATACCTCCAGGTGTTATCTTTTATAAAATAACCATTAACATAAAAACATCAAGACGAATTAAAGGGGAGTTTCCCTTCAAAAACATACATTTATTTCAGAATATATAAGATTTTTATTACCCCCAGTGATGTTAATTTCGTGATTTTATAGGCTTTAAAAACATACCAGAACCGTTAAGATATAATGAAAGACCAACATAAAGCTATGAAAACCTGATCCATCACAAACTGTAATTTACGAGAGGGCGTGGTGATCCTAGACTGAAATGAACATTTATTTTAACAGTATGTTGTGTTTTTGTAATAATTTATTGGGTGGAATAAAACGGTTAACGAACCGGGGACCTTATAAACGAAAATTTAAATTGAAATATATTAAGAATGCAGCCCTTTGATTGGCATAGAGCTAAAATGGGTTTCAGAATTGTAACCTCCTACCAACGAAAAGACTGCGTCCTGAAAATACGTTACTTTAAATTTTCGTGAATAAGGACCCAGGTCTCTGACCCTGGCTTAGGGTGCTTTTCTTGTCTTCTTGAACAAAACAAATAATCCCTATATTGACAGTCTATCTACCTGTAACTGAAAACCAGTAGGATGGTGCAATGTAAAAGCATAAAAATTATGTAACAGAGAACGTACAGGTACTGCAGGTTAGAACAATGTCCCTTGTCCTAACACCAAAATAAGAAAGAGAGAAATGGACATTAACGTCCACTCGACGTAGGTCATTTCAGGACTTAAACATAGTTCAATTATATTTCAGTAATTCGCTAGCGCGTAGAGGTCGTTAGCAGTAGGAGGAAACCGAAGGACCCAGAGAAAACCAACGAAGTTGGACAGGCGACCCTACTCCTTGTTACGTACAACCGGGGAATCGAAACCACGCCAGTTGACTCGATGACAAACCTTATGATACAACACGCACGCGCTAACCATTCGGCCATCCAACCCCCCTCCCCAGAATAAGAAATGAAGTCAATCGGACAACGCCGTCTTGTTTTAAATGTGTTTTTCACTATTTATGATTAGAAACCTTCATTTATAAAATGGAAACAGGTCGAAGATTTTAGGACGCGAAGTGTTTCAAGATACAAACATTGTATACAATCAAATAAAAATATACTCACCATGGATTCAATTTTTAACGATAATAAGCTGATATTAAGATACAATATGTCTTTAGAACGAACGAAATGGTGGTCTGTGATCAGAATGTAGAATGTGATTCCCACTTTTGTTTACATATACTTAATACTTATAAAGCACGATGCAAACCCTCGTGCTGTTGTTTATATACTCTCAATATCCCTTAGATGTAACAAAATCTTAGTCTATAATTAAAAAAATACGATGTAATCCCTCGTACTTTTATTCTTAATATCCTTTGGATCTAACGAAATCACACTCTGTAATCAAAATCACAATATCCGTCACAGCACACCATGAGAGAATAAAACTGTAATTTCGATGAAATTTTGTACGATTTTAATATCTAAAAGGCACATTATATAATCAACAGCTAACCAATCCTTTGACACTTTCAATATGATCTTTTAAGCATACAACATTAATGTCTAAACGAGAAAACTGCACTCCTACCACTAGATTAGTTTCAAAGGGAGCGACAACATGTTTAGTGCAGAACAGGAAAGAAACAGTAAAAATATGTTAATCATAAATAGATTCCGTTTAGAAAACAGAAAAACCTTTTTTTTACTGTTGATTAAGAAAGCAATCACGGTCACCTGGTGAAATGATTTTTTGTTCACAAAAAAACCTTATTTTTATAATATATTAAAAATAATTAAACTTGTCCGATAGCTCACACAACACTCGGTAATGGGAATTGAACACCAAAGCATGAAAGAAGAGAAATTGGTTAGAAAACCTGAACGTTTTAAGTAAAATACCAACAGGTTATGTAGTGGTATACCAGATAAGTAAACACAAGTACACTAATATACGGCTAACTAGAAAACACTGACGAGAATATATATATAGCATATTGCACGTGTGTTAGCGCGTGTATACATACAGCTCGTGTTTTACCGTTACCTTTAAAGATGTAGTTCCTCGAGATTTGAGTTTCTAAATGCGAATGGCAAAAATAACAGCACAGGTAATACTTCCAAACCTAATCTTTTGCACCTGTAATATTGCATCCTTCCTTAACCCTACACCATTTTACACCTGCCAGTCATTCCTGTGCCATTTTTACCTGTCATTATTACATGTGCATTTTTATCTGCCATTATTAAATGCGCCATTTTTACCTGTCATTATTACCTGCGCCATTTATACCTGTCATTATTACCTGTGCCATATGTACTTGTCATCATTACCTGTGCCACTTTTAGTTGTCATTATTACCTGTGCCATTTTTACCTGTCATTATTACATGTTCCATTTTTACCTGCCGTGTACCCACCCTTAACTAATAGCCATCAATTGGAAAAATATTCATTCATAACGAGATACAAGCATGTTTTGTACGTTACAAATTTTAGATTTAGGATTCTATTATTAATCCTGAATATCAAAAATATTATACTTTCAAGTAAAAAAAGGGGCTTGTTGTTCAAATGACCTAATTATGCACCAGACAACACATCTTTAAATCAGGTTATGTTTCTACCAGCAATATGTAAGTATATGATAAGATAATTTTTAGAAATTTTAACATTTTTTCTTGAAATTTTAAAAGTGAAAAAATCTATTAACGCGTTTAGAAACAGATTGAAAAGTAATAACTATATAATTACCGAATTTCAAATATTTTAAAGGGCAGATCGGACTGCAATATAACATTCCGTAGTTTAGTTTCGAAATGGCGTAAGTAGACGTACAACTCCATTCCATTTTTAAAGCTCAAATGAAGGAAGAAAAGTTTGTTTTATGGTCCCTACCTTCATCTAACTAGATGACATCCCCGAAAAACATTGCCTGTTTATGACAACCTACATTGTGTGCGTGAAAATGTAAATAATTCTTAAGGAATGAATCCGATTTTTAATCTGCTTTCATCCCTGCCAACAATGAAGCAGAAACAGCTTGAAATTTAGTATTTTTGAATTGCCAGAAGGCCAATAAAAATGTGTTAAATTAATTCTTTCAATTTAAATTTAACAAAAATAAAAATTCTGGGTTAGATACCATCTTAGTCTCGATGCTCATGCAGATAAATGAGTTGTCCTTCAGTAGTCGACAGACGATCATAAATCGATTATTAAACGGCTTTATATGGTTGTAGCTTACAATATTGGTATATTTTAATAATTTTCAGACCAATAATAGGATTTTTGATAATACTTTATTTTATTGTATAAGGTCTGAAAATCTGTATTTGCTTTAGTGGGAATTAGTAAGTTTTTAATATATTTAATAATTGGAATATTAGACGCCTAGCAATTATCTACAACCGTAGGTATTTTGAATTTGACTTTTAATATTTTTATTAAGTGTGACACTAGCTCAACAAGAGCTCTTTGACCGAAGTTTTTGAAGTATTTGGTAAAGCGCCATAGTAGAAGTGTTTATGTATTATTTAAGTATATCTTGTTAATGAGAGAGTGGCTAATTATAGCGATTATAAATAGTAATTCTACATTTAGGTTAACATAATTAACACGATCTTCTAATCTTGACTCAATAGCCTCCAGGACGTACTAATTCTATTTATTCTAACTCAAATTAAAGATACATTTACTGCTTTACAAATAGTCTACGTGCGGAAAACAAAGCGAAAATGAAATGAAATGGGATTTTAACATCTTACTTTTCTGCTCCATCCGGGTTAATAAAGATGGGCATACGCCATGCAATGTTCTATGTGGGAAATTTTGCCCGGGCAGCGGCGTAATGGTCTACCTATTTTTCGATTTCCAACTATCTTTTACGTGCACACCTTAAAAGTTCTCACAGAGAGAGAGAGAGAGAGAGAGAGAGAGAGAGGGGGGAGACAGAGTTTTGTCGACACAAACTAGGTCATTTCTGGACTAAAATTGGTTCAAGTTTTTATTCAATACTTCGCTTGCGCCGCGGGGTCTTTAGCTGTGGGAGGAAAAAGGAGGACCTGGAGAAAACCACAAGCGTGGAATCGAAACCACTCCACTTGACAGACTTTATGATCTAACGTGCACGCGTTCAACCATTCGCGCGCCCCTCCCCAAGTGTATCGTATGCACTGAGCCACCGCGGTTACACAGGGCATGTCTGTAAATTAGGAAACAAACACGTTTTAACATTCCATTAACGTGTGGTAAACTTTTTTTTATTAGTTTTCAAGCAGTTTAACGAACGACCGTTGTTTAATTAACTGCAACAATAATCCGAATTTAGATTTCAAGCTGGCGTTCAGGCATGGTTTTAAACCATTACTTAAGTCGTGTGATAAATTACAAAAGAAAGGAAATGTAAAATAAATGACACATTAAGTGTGGAAATATTTAGTAATGTCGACAAGGGTGTAATTAAATAGATAAAGCCTTCTTAAACTGGATGTAGTGCCGGACAGTAAAGACCGCAGTAGAACGGCTTCTCTTAATAAGTACCAACTCCGGAATGATAACAGCTAACAGAAGACCATCAAGGTATGGTTTTATGGTTATTAGGAATATTTTAGCTTACTGGTGGTATGTTTTATCTCTGCTAGGTTTTATCTTCGGGTTTATCTAAAGTTTTAATGGAATTTCTGCTTATTTAAACGGCTATGACATGATAATGGAAGTGGCAGGGTTAATATAATAACTTAGATTTATGTATAGTAATATCATAATAACACAGGAGTGCAGGAGATTCCATAAGAGTAATGTAAGTTTCAAAACCGTCAACCTATTAACATTTAAAAAAGAATAAATCCGTATGCCAATGTACGATAATTTAACCCTAACCCTATCTTAACCCTAACCAGTTAGCTCATTCAAATACTTCTTCTTCTATTAGCGGAGAGCCTGACAAGGACAGGTGTCCAGTCCTTCGGATGAGACGAAAACCCGAGGTCCCGTGTAAACATTGGAATGCACGTAAAAGATCCCTTGGCAGTTGGAATTCAATATAAGAGTAGGCGATAGTGCCGCTGCCCGGGCAAAATTTCCCTCATAGCACACTGTATGGCGTATGCCTGTCTTCATTAGCCCAGTCAAAGCAGAACAGTAGGACGTTAAACCCCATTTCATTTCATTTCATTTCTTCTATTAGTGCTTAACGTCCGCTCCTAACGAGGTGATATCGCAGGCAGTATTCAAATACTTAATTTCATTAGTTAGATATAAGCACCCATTTAAATGGGTATTATCTAAGATTAGTTACAGAGCTGGCAGTTCTCGCTATAATAGTTTACAAATAGATAGTGATAATGGAATATCTTGAAAATTTCAGTCAAATTACCTTACTATGAGCCGAGTTATCGCCGTTAGAAGAACAGTGAAGCCTCGATTGGATTGGCATTGTTACCTTTGTTAAGATAATAAAAAATGTCTCGATTATCTATTTTTAAATTAAATCATTAACTAATTGTCAATTGTATTTAAATCTGTTGAAAATGTCCAGAATCCGATAGCATCTAGAGTTGATTATGGTTTCGGTAAGTTAATTAATGTCTAATTAATAATTTACATAATATTTAAAGGGTAAAGAAAATCCTGAAATAAGCAGATTTAGCTCTATAATGTATGTTTAAATAAAAACTCTGCGACCGAGCTTGCACCCGCGGTCGTGGTAAGAACTGAACCGCCGACTGTAATTTCCGGTGTTTCGAATTCTGACGTGGGCGTGTAAAACTTGCCCCGGGATTTGATATTCGAAGAGGATTCGGCCACGACGTCGATGTATTTGCAAAGTGAACATAACAAACGTAAATAATTAATACCTTGTGTTAATTCCAAAAATTGCTTTTAAACCAAAGTTTCGACCTGACGTTAAACCCATTTTTTCCCAATACGAGTCAGTTGAAACCTAGAGCATATGGTGACACAGGACAATATCCTTCTAAGTGAATAGATATACCAGACACCAAACGGGTGCCACGCCGTGCGACAAAGTGGCACTTTATAAAACTGATGACTTCAGGTTCAAAATCGGATGAAATGCAATTGAGTTTCACGTCTTGTCAAATCTACATTATGGTCTTATGCGAAGGGGGTAGGCGGATTTTGCTCTGTCCGCTGCGTTTCCATCGTCTTACTTGTCTGCAGCAACAGGGCTAGTGAAAACGGACAAATGCCATAGAAGTGTACTATGTGGATAATTTTGCCAATAATTTTATTTCTATTTTCAAATGTCAGGGGATCTTTAACGTGCGAACGTCCCATCTATCTTAACCACTGATAACAGAAATTCAGGCTGGAAAATCCTTATCGAAAACGGGACCTTTTTGTTAGTGAACCAGTGTCATATTCCCTAATGGACCGTGGCTTCCCACACACTTGAAGGTTATAGTGCCGGTCATTTAGGAACCGTGAGGGATATACACAGGATTTGTTTTTAGATAAATAAAAAAAGAAGGTTAATAACCTTTCTCTTTAATGATCCTCGTAGAATGATGCG